TTTGATATGGAATGGTGGGTCCAACTTTTGCCTCAGTGACAGGCCCTTGTTTGGCCCCTCTGATTTAAAGCATCCTTGCTGAATAAATCTATTAATTTTTTTCTTTCAAAATGAAAAAGAAAAACTTACTGTAAATAGCGCTTAAGGAAAATATAAGAAAATGCATATAAGGAAGAAGAAACTTACCTTGGTTACAGGAGACACTTGACCTGTCCATTTAATCTGAGAGGCGTCTAACTGAAGTTCAGTTGGAACTGGACTGTAATTTCCCACCACCTTAAATGACCACTGGCCATCTGTCCATACCCACGTCACTATATCATAACCTGAAGGAGGGTCTCCATTCTTATCAAAATAAAATGATGTATTTTGAATTGAAAACCGAACTCGTTTCAGCTGATGAAATACCTGTGGGATTCAAAGAAAGTAATTTCCTTAATAATTCACAATACACATTGCAAATGTGCTATAATTTTTCAGTGATTTTTCTCTGAAAGCACTCACCTCCCATGGCTGCACCTTATATTTCTGACACAGTCCAGAGTCACATTGCAGGATGTTGTGCAACGCATGAGCCACCGCGTACACGGCCTTATACACATTAAAGGAGGAAACAATGTCATACTGTGACATAGAAAAGCCTTGAATCGCTATTTCATAAAGGTTTGTATTTTGCATACATGGGACACTGTGGTTGAATGGACTTTTTAAACCAGTGTCTTTCAGCCTGGGCACAGAAAGCCTTTCAAAATCGTCAAAACCACTGAATTCAGTATATTGGACTGCGACACCGAGGACAGTCCCTATCGTACTGATCCCTGGGATACTACTCACTGTTGACGCCACCGACCAATCCTCTGTCCCAATCCACACTTTTCCTGTCACGTTTTGGTCGATAACAAAAGGAAAGAAGCCAGCGGCCCGCCTCTTATTGGCAAAGACAACTATAGTGTTGACTTTGGTTTTGAGGATGTTTTTGACCATGTCTTGCATGTATTGCTTCGTCTTGTTAGTTACAGCGGGTATCTCGGCTTGATATGCAATACATAAATTGTAAAGTGAAGCTTGCTGGGATAGGCCTTGCATTCCTTGTATACCATATGAATTGTCACTACCGAGAAGAGCGATCCAGGTCCAGTTAAATCTGACGAGAATTTGTATCATTGCGCTGACTTGGTTTTTGTCACTGGGGATGGTGCGGAAGAAAGCTGGATAGAGGATCTTGTTGCTCAGCAATTCATTTGATGCCTCGTAGGAGATCTACAAATACCGGAGAAAAAAAAAAGTACAATTAAAATGGAATAGAGAAACATATATAGGCTATACATATATATATATATATATATATATATA